TTTCTGCATTAGATTTTAGAAATATAAACCCTGGCAAACCCTGCTGCACTAGAAATACTGAGAAACATGACTTGATAAGTGGGACACGCTTTGAAATAGCATTTCCAGAAGTGCCTTAGGCCCTTATAAGCCACAGAAAGCTGGAATAAGACACAGGCAACAAAATAATCCTACTTTCCAGACTAAGGGCTTGCTAAAAGTGTACAGATTTTGGTTTGTTCTCCATGACACCATGAATTATATTGATATCTAATCTCTAGAGTGTCTTTTTTGTCTTACTATAGATTTTGTTGCATTTTATTCATCCTGTATGAACTGGTGTAGCCATCTTGATAAGAGCTGAAAAAAGTCCTGCTGTTACTGTTTTCCTCAACAATGCAAATTTCTGATCTGAGTCATATCATTCCAAGATAGCACTGCTTCCAAGGAGAGAACAACAGAGATTAAAAACTGGCCTATATTCTTCACTGAGCCAAATGACTCTTAAATCTTTCTGGCAACATCATAAAGAATAGATAAAACTGAAAACAAAACACTCTCAGTTGATGTCCTCAGCAGGCACTCTCACTGAAAACTAAACTCCTAGTTAATGAACAACTTATCTTTCCTTTATTTTCCATTTGTTTGCAAAGTTACACAGTAGGAGTGTCACAGATCTGTGTACTGTGACTGAGTAGTAGACATGGTACATGAAAAATTTAAATTCAGGCAGTTTTAATCAGTAATACTGGTCACGTGGATTAAAAGAAAGCATTAAAATACAGATACATAAGTGTTTTGAGTTTCTTAGATATAGGAGATGTAAAAAAGGTATAAAAAGGTGATGTAAATAGATAATTCATTATCACTGGAAAAATTACTGAGCTGCTGTACTCAGTACATAGGGCACATCAAATGCTTTACCATCACATGGAGGTGAGGGTTGCCAAGACATTTAGCAAGAAATGCAGATACTGATTAACAATAAACTAAACAAGGTATTGCATTTTAGCATTTCCTCCATTCCTATTACATGAGAATAGAGATAAGGATATGACACGAATCTTAACGGAAATCTCTATTTTATGACAGTTTAAATGTAATTTATTACTTCCTAGAGTGTCTGCTTTTTTAAAAAGCAAATAATGACAACCTCAATTTGCATATTCTGTGGAATATGACATCAGAGCTATAAAACTACAGTCCTGCATTATTCCATGCTAATTTTAATGATCAATCTCAACAGCACAAGATGGGCTCCCACATGAGTGAGATTTCTGCAATACCTGTAACTTTTGCAATGTACTGTAAAGCCTTCAGTTCACATGTTGATTAATAGGTGAGGCAATATTTAGTAGATGGAGAGTGCGACATCTGTCAGATACATATTTTTTTATTAAATCGGAGTAATAATTCACACTGAAATGGGTTTAACTGTGAAGAGCTTTGTCCAAATACATGTCAGAAAAACATCCCAGCCTTCTCTGGAGATCACACAAACTATAGTCCCATTTTTGAAGCATCCTGCACATATGTAGTCTGCACAGGAAGCACCACTGTCCCCTCTGGATCAGCAGGTCACACACGAATGCAGCAACATTTCTTGTAAAACATTACATTGTTTCTCAATGTAGAGCCCTCATTCTGTGACCAGGGAGTGCAGGAGGGGAGGGGGAGAAGCAGCAGGATGTTAACAGGAAAACACAGCTGTACAGAGTTGTAGTGAACATTGTTTTCAGGTTGGAGATTGCGGGGAACTTGTTAGAAATAATACTCTTTTTTGTGATTTTTATGTGTGTGGTTTTTAGGCTGGCTTGCTTAAAAAAACTTGATGAAATAATAGATTTCTGCTCTTGGGGTTTACTATGATTCTTTCTGGATCTTCATACACTTAAATCAAAGAATACAGCAGATTTTTTTTTTATTTTTTTTTTGCAGTACTAATGAGAATTATTAAAGGACTTACCAAGGCCCAACTTTCTTGCTCTGGGTCTTAGGAGCTGTAGGATATATTAAAATATACATGTATTACTTGAAGTACAGTTTTAAATTAATTCTAGTGACACCTTAAAATTTGCTATTTTCAAGGTATAAAACATTTTAAAATGTACTTCTCATTTTTAGAAATCTAGATAACATATAAAAAGAAATATATCCAACAAAATACAGAAACAACAACCATTATATTAAACAAGTATTTGATCAGGTCTTATTTAAAAACAAACCCCTTCTAAGCCTTACTTAGTAGTTCTGCAGTTAAAAAAGCAAAGCAAAATTAAAAGGACCATCTTAGTAACCAATGGATTTCCTCAGATTCCACTCTCTGAAATACAATTACAAATCTGACTAGCCTCCCCAGTACCATTACTTTTAGGGAATGACAAACAGTAACAGCAAATATTTTAGCAAGTTTCCCAAAGTGATTTAGCATCCTTTTGCTACTGAATATAAGTGTCCAGGTATTCATGTGCAGACAGATGTAACCCATGAATAACAACCATAGGACAATATACTATAAATCTTTCAGGATAGGAGTGACCAAGCTTTAAACCTGGGCCAAGTGTCCTCAGCTCCTGCAGGGCAGTATGAAGAAGGGGGCACCACTACTAACGAAAGAGGATTCTAAAATCATCATGACAGTAATTTAGCTTTCAGCTCTTTTCTAGAGTGCTGTTGATCTAAGTCAGCATTTGGGGAGCAGAGGGTAGATGTTTAATCAGTCATCTGAATATATTTCAGAAACAAATTTTAAATCTCACTTTTAAATCTTGGCTAATTTTCATGTATTATCTGAGAGGCCATAAGCAACATGACACAGAGAAGAACATGGATAAGAAAGAGTGAGCAACCACTACTGCTTCTGCTAATGTGTTATTTTGGTTTCTGTTTTTTCTTTTTTCTTTATTAAATAGTCAAATGTGAACATTAATCACAAAAATCCCTTTGATTCCTCATCTACTTCCTTGACTACGTTGGCCTCTCATTAACTACATCCCATGTCCAGTATCCATAGCACAGTAAGTCAGAAGCCCCACAGGGTTATTTGGACAACTCCAGAGTACAAATTAGAACAATGACTTTGCTCAAGAGAAAAACAAAATTATCAGGAAACAATGACAATTCACTTAATGAAAAATGGCAGCTGATTTACACTGCAGTAATATCAGTGTGAGCTGACAGTGGTGCCTCCAAGAAATTCCACTCAGGTGTGCTGGACTCAACCCTGCTGCAGAGGTTGGCCCACAAGTTAAGACTTTGAAATTAAACTCCTAAGCAGTGAGGAAAGGCTGGCTAACTACTTTGAACTTCTCTATTGCCAGTATAGAGAAAAAAATACTCTAAAATGTCCTATATACATGGTTCTTAGAGTAATCTCTATTACTCTATTACTTAATTAAAAAATACTTTTAAAAACCTTACAGTGGAAGGGTCTGACACTGCTTACAGCACAGAGCTGTCAAACTGAGCATTGAGTTTTTACACTCTTCTATGATAAAACTTCCACCACAAAAAAAAAAAAAAAAGTTGCTTTAATGACCCATAAAGACTCAACAAATGACAGTATTTCACTGCATGTAATTGGTGGTTATATGGTAATACAGAAGAAAAAATAGTCCTGTTATTCAGGAATGCGAGCAGACAAATTAAAAATAAATCAAAAGACCAGACTAGCTTTCATCTTTCCAATTTCCCTATTCCTGCAGTCACATAAAATGAAATTAAAGCTTATCCAAACCTCATCTCCCCCTCAGGCACGCACCAAGCACATGCACAGCCACTATTCAGTACTCAACCTGAGCATTGAGTTTTTACCCTCTTCTATGATAAAACTTCCCCCACAAAAAAAAAAAAAAAAGTTGCTTTAATGACCCATAAAGACTCAACAAATGACAGTATTTCACTGCATGTAATTGGTGGTTATATGGTAATACAGAAGAAAAAATAGTCCTGTTATTCAGGAATGCGAGCAGACAAATTAAAAATAAATCAAAAGACCAGACTAGCTTTCATCTTTCCAATTTCCCTATTCCTGCAGTCACATAAAATGAAATTAAAGCTTATCCAAACCTCATCTCCCCCTCAGGCACGCACCAAGCACATGCACAGCCACTATTCAGTACTCGTGAGGTCACTATTTCAACAATCTAAGTCTTGAAAACATTTTGCAAATGCCTTTTCATGATTCTGCACGTTTGCTCCTAACGCTGCAGGACCACGGGCACTTCACATCTGTCTGAAGTGCTGTGGGAAAAGCCAAATAACTTGCTTGAGGATGTAAGAAAGTGCAGGATCCAGGGAGTCTGTTCCAGTTCTCTAAGATACCTTCCCATAGAACAAATAATACAAAACACACAACTCACTATTTTATCAGGTCCGTATATCTTTGCCAATTGTTCAGCAACTTCCTGCGTCCCATCCGGGCTTCCATCATCTATGATGATAATTTCAAAATTGTTTCCACTGCAACGAGAATGATGTTTAAATGACCAAACGCCAGTCCCAGTGTCCCCCCCTCTGTCCCTGCCGCTCTGACAGCGAAGGGAGGGACGGAGCTCAACCCCGGGCCCACTCAGGGGCCCTGCAGCGCCCGCAGCCCGGGCCGGTACCTCTCCTGGAAGGTGCGGACCAGCAGCCAGACGACGAGGGGCAGGTTCTCCCGCTCGTTGTACGTGGGGAGCAGCACCGACACCTTCTCCACACCGCCGCCCGCCGCCATCTTGGCGCCTGACGCAGCCGGAACCGGCGGGGGGGGGGCGCGCCG